GTATAATGGTTTGGAGGCTGCCTTACTGCTTCAAAGTCTGAACAGTTTTTCATAGATGGAAATCCTGCTCCCTACCTGTAAGTTTGTGACTTTAAGCTTTAAGTTATAACCAGCGTAAATGGCTTTAGTCTGGAAAGGAGCAAGTAGAGCCTAAATTCAAAGGCGGACTAAAAGACTCGGCAGAAATAGTTTAGAACCATTCAGATAACTATGAATATGACCCAAGACCATCTATTTTTAAAGAAAAGCTCTAACAGCTTGAAGTTGTTGAAATTTGAAAGATATTCTGTTTTATTGGGAAATAATATTTAAACTTATTGGCCTGCCTCCTGCGTTTTAATTGGTCAGGTCTTTTTTAGTGATGGCTTTAAAGAAAAAAGAAAAAATCTAGTTAAGGCTTTGGATTATTTTAGATAAAATTTAGTTTGACTTTTACTAAAATATTCTAACATGATCTTAAACAGGCACTCAAAACAAAGAAATTAACAAAATGCCTCCCAAGTGACATGAAAATATGTTTTATTTAGTTGAAATTCTTGATTTGGGCTGCTCGCAGTGGGTAGCACTGCTACCTTGCAGCAAGACGGTTCCGGGTTCAATTCCCAGCCAGGGGTCTGTCTGCATGGAATTTGCAGGTTCTCTCTGAGCATGCATGGGTTCTCTCCAGGTGCTCCAGCTTCCACCAATAGTCTAAAAACATGACTGTTACGTTAATTGGCTTCTCTAAATTCTCTGTAGGTCTGAGTGTGTGTGAATGGTTGTGTTTCCTGTTTGTCTCCGTGTTGCCCTGCAATGGACTGACGACCTGTAGACAGCCAGAGGTAGGCACTAGCACCCCTCGCGACCCCGCTTGGGATAAGCATGACGGAAAATGGATGGATGCTTGATGGCAGCTTTTGTTGCCAAGAGTAACTAGCAATCTACACAATTTTATCCAAAGGGGAATCTATATATCAAAGATTGAAAATAATGTCTACTTTAAAACATACAGGGCCTTGAAAACATGAAGGAAAACGGATAAAGACCAAGGACTCAAAATGAGGCACATTAGTAAAAAAACAGAACCAGATGAGCAGATACAGATAAAAGAAAGACATCCACCAAGCAGAGGGGGACTCTGTCGGTGCAGCTTGTTCCTGCAAACAGTTTGTACAACAGCAGGAGAGGGTGCTGACATTTACATCATCACTGAGGCACTTACACATCAAGTCGATGGCGAGCTTTCATGCCAAGCTGGGCTGGCGAGGCACGCCATGGTCTGTCTTACTGTTTTTCTTTCACATCAGGGACTGCTGTGTCTGCTTGTCAAAGGAAAACCGATATCCACTGATAATGCAGTCTTTTTTTCCCTCTTTTTTATCCACACAAACAGATTCAAAGCAGATTTGCATGTCTTTTGTCTCTAAGCATTCATCCATCACTTTGTCAAACATCTGGTGATTCCAGAAACCTGATTCCCTCTGAGAGTGAAGTCATGTCATCAGCTATATTTAGTTTGGTTTACAGAATTTGGCAACACGGTATATAACAAAAGCCTGTGTAATGTAGCAGACGGCAGAGAGAGGCTTGGTCACAACACGCTGATCAGATAAAACAAACAATTACGGACATTTTTGATTCAAAGGGCTGGCTGATGTTTTTAGACATCTTGGATCTCTGTTAGAGAACATTGCATGGATTGAGATGCAGGTGATCATATTCAGTGCCTTGTATAAATATTCACACTCACTAAGCATCTTCTCATTCTGTCACATTAAACTTCTCCAAGTCATTCTTTCAGCACTGAGGGCAGACAATAGTTGGTTTTCCTCAGAAATAAAAAATACTCAAAAAATGAGCTACGCATTTACTTTCAAGCCCCGTTACGGTAATGTTCTGAAATAATATCCAGATTGATTGGCAATGCCAGCTTCCCATGACAAGATTTAGAATTGTCTGTTATTTTCAAAACCTAAGAGATCGCTCCCACAGATACGCACACAAAGGCCGTTTCTCAATATGTGTACTTGTGCGTTATCATGTGCTAGCCCTAGTACTGTTCCAATTCACAAGAAGACTGAGAAAGGACAAAGTCCCCGGATGTTGTTCTCGTCACACCCTCTATGCATCAGAGAAGACTTGTCTGTTCTTGAGATTGACAGCTGTCCCAGCATGCACTGCAGCAGCAGCAGCTTCCAGTGGAACGCACACAGAGCTCAAAGTATTGAGTTAAAAAGTCTCTTTTCTGTTGCTGTTGTTCAATAAAAGTAAGTTTTAAGATAATTTGAGGCAAGAACGTTATACCTCTAAGCGTCACTATATGGCCCATTCAGTTTAGTGCGTCATTTAAAAAAAAAATGTCCTAAGTTGAGAGGACCGCGACAACCAGCGGACCTCCGACGGTAACGGCAGCAAGGTCTAATTCTAGCTCATGGCATAGCCATGTGTAAAGTACCTGTGGCTCTGATGCCGATTATTTTTGTTTTATTTGACAAACAAAATTTAACAAAATGTTAATCTGATTTGTTTCTCTGACTGTGTTAATTATTATTCCCCAAATAAATGAAAAAGGTAAGAATTTATTATTATCTAGAGCAGGGGTGTCAAAGTGGTTCCAGAAAGGGCCATGTGGCTGCTAGCATCGTGAGACCATCCTAATCTCGCAAGCTTTCAAGGTTTCACTCTTAGATCAGTCTGGAAACTCTCTGTTAAAGAAAATTTGGAGCCGTTCACCAAACGAACGTCCAATCAGCGTTGGCTTTGAGGTGGGTTGAGGTGTGACGCAACGAGAAGCGCTACAGTTCAGTCTAAAGAACATGGCGGCTTCAGCCGATGAAACTAGCGTTAGCATGGCTATCGAGCAAGTTTTATCGGAATTACACTGTATTTATTCACTGAAAGAAGAGCAAAACACTGCTCTGGAGGCTTTTCTCAGAGGAAAAGATGTTTTTGCTCTTCTCCCGACTGGTTTCGGCAAGAGTAGCCTGGCTTGTGGTTGTGTTTTCGTCGTCGCTCTGTTAGTACGTCATATGCTTCGTTGATCTGATTGGTTTATTTGGCCCGTCTATCACCAACATAGGCCAATCAGCTAACCAGAATTTTTGCCCCTTCCCAAAATTTCTTCAATGTAAGGTTTCCTGATGGATATGCGGAGCAAATCTATCTGGCGGAGTCAGGTTATGTGGCTGCAGGTTCTCTTTCCAAACAAGCAATAACACACCAGACTCCAGTCATCTCATCAAGTCATCATATTCAGATTGGACTCACTTGATGAGATAAAGTAAGACCTACTAAAATGCATAATATACAATTTCCTTTATATAATTCCTTATAATTTGGGGCTGAAGGGGCTGCATATTTTCTTGTTTAACATTGAGTTGACTCAATATTAAACATTTTAGACACATGGCCTCTTACTAATCCAAAAAAGGTGGGTAGTGAGTTTTTTACAATTATATGTTGTTGTTTTTTTTTAACAGCTATGTTTTTGACTCATTCATGTTATCCTTCATGGTCACTGGCCCATGTGCAACACAGTGTGAATTACTCACAAAATGTAAGTAGCATCATGCTTAGCATCATGTCCAGTGCAAACTCATCCTGCTCATGAGCAGTTGGTATTAAATCTAATAAAGGCTGATGGATGTTCTCTAAAATTTCAGACGGCATTATTAATTTATTTTGAATCTGTCATCTATCAGAGTTAATCTTGGGTATTGAGAAGCCAGCGACACAACAGATTATTAAGATGCAAAAACATTGCCCCAAACAAGCTGATTGTTGAAACCTTGCCTCAAATAATCATTGAATACTGTAAATTTACTGTCTGTGTGTATGTAGGGGGATACGTTTTAAATTTACTCTTGTTTTTTGTTTTTCTAGAAAGGAAATGCTTGTTTCCAGCTTATTAAACATATTGCTCAGCCAAAGGTAAAAACAACAAACAGAATATACTTTTATTTATCAATTCCTTTTCTTGTCTAAGCTCATGATTCGATTAAATTCCTCAGGGAAGGACCAATGCCTGTGTGTGAATGCAGCGGTTGCTTCCTCAACAGGCCAAATTCATTGGCGGATTACGTTGCATAACAGACAGAGACACAGACTTCAGGTTGAACAAATTATCCATCCATAGTCTGTCCATTCCCCAGCAAGAAAAGGCAAAATGATCAGAGATAAAGACGAAGATGGATGGAGTTAAAAAAGCTTAACCCATAAAAAAGCTAACTGCATTAGACCTCAGACTGGGGCAAGGGTTCAGCCTCAGACATGACCTCCTCACTGTTACCCTTATGTCAGATCAGCCACGCAAACATCTCAAAGAAGCATAAATATTGGGTACACACCCAAACTGTACGGGTCAGCCGCTGACGCCTGAATTAATCACCAACAGACACCAAACTTGAGGTTTGACAGCCTCTGAAACTGGTGCGAGTAAAACCACATAAAACCAGACCATGTGTTGGTATAAAATGCCAGCAGGCCCACAGCTGGTTATAATCACCACCACAAGTGTCGGCTTCCCACACAAACACACATACACACTGAAACCAGACAACCAACTGTTAAGAACCTGAAAATTTCAGCCCAGCTTTAGAACCACTTGACCCGTTCTCTGCAGGACCTTCAGGTTATTTGAGGACAGCAATATATTCTAATAGAAAAAAAAAATCCAAACTCACACACACAGACACACATACAGTAAGCAGGGTTCAAAGCTGAAGTGATGAGCAACCACACACTAAATTCACCAGACTGGATGAAAACCACAGGAGTCTGAACAGTTTTTAGATTAAATTAGCAGAAAATCCTTTTAAATGCTTATATTATAGACTATATTGCATGTTCTCCTGTTGGCGCTGCAACTCCGGGAGTCTAAGTGTCTGCCCCGTGGGCGTTGCAGACATCTGGCTTCACCTTAAACGCATCCAAATTACAAGCCACAGTCCCCCAGAGTGCATTAAGAATTATTATAAGTCATGATACAAGTTTTTTTGATCTATTATAGTCTTTGTTTTTACCTCCAGGGCACTGTTAGTACGTGGAGAGCGAGGAGGTTTAGGAGCAGATCTGCTGCAGCGAGAGGGGTGGTGACTGCAATGCTGCCGGGCGGCATCAGGGTCGTCTAACAGGAAGGCCAACTGGCGAAGTTCCCCCTGCGGACAGGGAGACGTAAAAAATGCAACCTAATCACAAAACAGCCTGAAATGCAGGAAAGAAAAGCTCACATTTAGGTGCTGTGACCAATAATGCTACTGGTTTTAGTACACATTGAGAGATGAGATCAAAGAAAGTTTCTCCTCTTATAGTTCTGTTGTAGACATTCTTAAAGTTAAGAATGGCCTAAAGGTAACAAATTCAGAATACACACAACAATTACATTTTAAAGGAATAGTACACCCAAAACATGATTAGCCTTCATTTTCTACTCACCCCCATGCTGAACAACACTCTGGAGTACTTTTTTGATATCTCAAATGCATCTGGAGATCTGGGAGGCTTCTTGCTGTCTGCTGACATTCAAATAATGGAGGTCTATTGTGCCCGAGACAGAAAGGTCAATAAAAGTCCACAAAAAACGTGTCAATATTCCTCCATACTGCTCGTCCAATGTATTCCAAGTGTCCTGAGTGGGTAGCATCCAGAATTTACTAGAAACAAAGTCATTTAGAATGTTATTAGAGCATAAACAGTAGTGTATAGGATTTCCTGAAAGCGCGCGCCGGCGCGTTTATGACGCTACGGAAACCGCGGCAGACCAAACCAGATGAAAGTGCGCATTCAGCTCGGCAAGAACTCATGCTCTTCCTCAACACTGAAGTCCTCAGACATTTTTCTTTCGTCGTTTCTTTCTTTGCACAGGTAAACAGCACATTTCTTCTTCTACGCTTAAATTATCGGCAGAGCAGACGCTGAATGCGCAATTTCATCTGGTTTGGTCTGCCGGCTTCTGTAGCGTCATGAACGCGCCGGCGCGCGCTTTCAGGAAATCCTATACACTACTGTTTATGCTCTAGAAACATTCTAAATGACTTCGTTTCGAGAAAATTCTGGATGCTACCCACTCAGGACACTTGGAATAGATTGGACGAGCAGTATGGAGGAATATTGAAACGTTTTTTGTGGACTTTTATGGACCTTTCTGTCTTGGGCACCATAGACCTCCATTATTTGAATGTCAGCAGACAGCAAGAAGCCTCCCAGATCTCCAGATGCATTTGAGATATCAAAAAAGTACTCCAGAGTGTTGTTCAGCATGGGGGTAAGTAGAAAATGAAGGCTAATCATGTTTTGGGTGTACTATTCCTTTAAGCAAAATAAAAAAGTTTCAAACTTTGACAGGAATTTTGCAGATTGACAGGCAATGTCAGAGCAGAGTGGAGATCAGACCCGATGGACTCAAAAGCTGATTAATATGCGACATATTTATAAAATTAATAGCATTTTTGCACACATTTAATGCACTTTAATGAATACATTTATTAAGTTCACAAAGCATATTTGACCAGTTAATTTAGGAAATTACAGGGGAGGCTTATGCTCCCTATTATTCAATAAAAAATTTGGCACTGGTGCAAAGGCCCTGTGTAAATGATCTTATACTGGCTGCATATTTGCAGCTCAGCTCAGTTTAGCGAGCATAGTGTAAATTTGGGGTCAAGGTTTTTCTATGGCCCAGTCAAAGTTTACACAATCTGATTAAAACCCCGTAATGGGACCTTAACGGACATTTTAGTAAACCAAATTAAAATCATGCTGCTAAGAAAGGTTAAACAAGCTGTTGTATCATCAGGTGTACTTTATTTTTTTGCACAAAAATGTTCCATTATGTTTTTTTATCCTGTTCATTAAATTAAAACAGAAGATTTGGTTGTGATATTTTTTTATACCCGAGGTTTGGCTTAAAGGATTTCAGAACCCTTACAGAAAGGTCTATCGTGATACATGAAAACCTTTAACTGAAAAAAGGTGTACCTTCTTTTTTCTTCGATATACACATCAATGTTATTTGAGCATGGTTTATAAAATAAAATACACTTTCCTGAGCAGAATAGAAAAGCTTTAGGACATAAACGCAGTTTTTACGTCAGATCCCTTTAAGGTTATTTAACGTTTTAAGTGAATCTGAAATCAAAAGCATGACATAGAGAAACTTTTCCCAGAGGCTGTTTTTAAAAGTGTCTATATGCTCATGTGTCTCTGTGTCTGCCATCTGAATCTGGTTTCTTTTATAAAAATTAGATTAGAGGAAAAAAAGAAGCATAAGTAAAGCCATGCATTAATATTTAAATAAAAAAGTATTTCATAGCCAAGGATTTCATAAAGACCTGTAGATAATTATCTACAGTAAGTCCATGATGCTGGCAATCAGTCAGCAGCTTTAACGTTCATATCTAAAAATCTAAAATATATAAACTGCAGCTCAGAGATATCGGCAGGCCAAGCGTGCTGCAGCTGGTGCGGTCACAGAGGCAGACACTCGGGTCTGGGAGGAGTTCGTAGAGGCCATAGAGGAGGACTATTGGTCAGCCTGGTTGGGCAAACTCCCATGAACCTTCAAGTACCCTGCAGATGGTGTAGAGCGGGTCTACTGTTCCATAGCCAAGACAAAAACTACATTGGTCCTCCTGAAGGCGAGGTTCAACCATAAGCTGGACTCCCCTCTCCAGCACCCTGGCATAGGCCTTAGCGGGGAAGCAGAGGAGTGAGATTCCACTATAGTTGGAACTAAGGGTGTGCAAAATAATCGCCATGACGATGCATTGCGATTCTAATTCTTGAATGCAAGAATCGATTCTTAATTAAAAAAAAACAAAACAAATAAAATACATTAATGGTTGGCGCACATCATCCAAACCAAGTGGAATACAACTTCCAGTCCAGCAGATGTCGCTGCGGATGTGTTGACGCCCGCTGCTTTGTGTCACAAGCATTTCCGGCTGCAGGATACTGAGACGAGCCATTCGTGAACAAAACATGGAGGTGCCTGAGAAAATTCGCCCCGCGGCTCCATCACATTTCAAGTCAGATGCTTGGATGCATTTTGGCTTTAAAAACAAAGAAGGTTAAAACGAAATTGATATGATGCACGTAATTTGCAAAAGGGGAAATGTCATACATTTGAATGTTTTCATTTCATTGGTTTAAAGGACCACTGAGGCCATGTAAACAGCACTGATTATCCTTATTTTGTTATTTTAAGTCTGATGAATCCTAAGATCTTTTTGTCAGTGTGTCCACACCAGCAATAGTAATATTTGTGTCCAGTATTTGTTTTCATGGCAACACCTCCAAAAGTCGTTTCAATAAATACAGCTATGTATGAATTCAGTCGCTTTCAGTTATGTATCAATTGTAGACACGATCCAGATCATACCCAGCCAGTCAGCCACTGGTAAGGGCTGTATCTTTTTCTTACAGTGTTCAGTGAAAATATTGCAATGCATCGCAATATTTCAAGTATCATGATGCATCGTGATAGAATCACATCGTGGCATGTGAATCGTGATTCGAATCGAATCATGACTTCTTTGCCAATACCCACCCCTAGTTGGAACACAACCTCCTGTTCCCTTTCTAATGCAGGGGAAGCACCACCGCAGTCTGCCATTCCAGGGGACTGTCCTGGACCCCCAAGTGATATTGTGACAACATCCACAGCTCTAAGGTATTCGCCACGGATCTCGTCCACCCCCGAAGCCTCGCAACCTTGGGATTTTTGAGTGATGAACGAATCTGGCCCCAAGTACCCCGTCTCATCTTCCACCAGGGAAGGTGTGTTTGTCGGATTGAGAAGATCCTAAAAGTATTCTTTCCACCATTGAACAATGTCATCTTTCAGGGTCAGCACCTCTCCACTCTCAATAAAACCACTGGTGCCGGGGTGTTTGCCATGATCTCCAACCAATAGTCTTTCACCATGGTCTCTCCAAACTCCTAGGCCCAAGTTTTTGCTTCTATAACATCCTCTGTAGCGTTATGCTTTGCCTCCCATTACCTGCATTCTGTTTCGAGAGTCTTACGAGCCAACCAGGTTTGATATAACTCCTTCTACTGCTTGTCAGAATCCCTTACTGCCGGTGTCCACTACAGAGTTCAGGGATTGACGCCACGACAGGCACAGCTACTTATAGTCACAGCTGCATCAGCAATAGAAAGAAAATTCCCACTCAGACTCCATGTCTCCAGTTTCCACCAGAATCTGGGAGAAGCACTCCCGGAGGTGGGAGTTGAACATGTCCCTGACAAAAGGCTCCCCCAGATGTTCCCAGCAGACCCTTACTACTCGCTTGGGCCTGCCAAGTCTCTACTGCTTCCTCCTCTTCCAGTGCATCCAACTCACATACAGGTGGTGGTCGGTGCACAGCTCCGCCTCCGTCTTCACCCGTGTGTCAAAGAAATGCGATTGAAGGCCAGAAAATATGACTTCAAAGGCCTAGGGTGTTCTGGTGCCAGGTGCGCTATTTGGACTTGCTTGAAAATGTTGCTTATTATGGGCAATCTGTGACTTGCACAGAAGTCCAGTGGTGAAACACCAGTCTGTTTGAAAACTGGGAGGCTAATTTATTATGTCCGAAATTTGCAACGCCATCTACTGTAGCAACCGATTTTTAAACACTAGCTTAATGGAAAATCCTCCACTATACCTTAAAGCCTAGAAAAAGGCTGGAATTGTGTGAACCGCACCCTCTCAGTCCTCTGGGACATAGAGACCAGCAGCAATCTGGATAACTGTTTTAGTTGAGCTTGGTTAGATGCCTCGTTCAGCTGTTCTTGGAGCTGCACCACATTCTTCTTATGCCAGAGCTGTAGAAGTTTGTCAGCCTGTATCAAAGCCATGCTTTATCAGCTTCCATTACTTTCTGTTGCCTCTAAAATATATCAGAGTATGTTCCGTTCCTGTCTAATGTCTAGTGACTTGAACAAGAACGGAGATGATTAGAAATGCATCAACTGTGACTTGGACAAACGATGATCCAGAGAAAATGGTGTCAGCATTTCACAAAGTGAAAACAGTCATAGGTGTTGCTTACTAAAGACATGTCACCATGTGGTGGTTAGGATATAAAGAATCCTTTTTATTTGATGCTCTGAACAGATCCAGATGTGTTCTATGTGATCCTTTAATGACAGTCACACTGCCTGCTCCACCCCTCAGGCTGCATTTCTGGTTGTTGTAAAAACAGGATATCCTTAAAGCAAAGCTTGATGCCTTAACAGGCATAAGTAATCATCCCAAGTCACCTTCTTAAGTTAGCGCAGGATGAGGTTATTAAACCAGATGCAAAGGCAATTATATTTTAACCTTTTCAGCAAACATACTCAAGCAATATTTGTTCTGTGATTGGTTTTGTGACAAAGGTATGGTAATGTAAGGGTGTGGAAACTATTTGCAGATATCCTAAAACAAATCCATGCACTCTAAGATTTCTCAGGGGTGTCAAACTCAAGTCCTGGAGGGCGAGTTCAGATACAATCATCCAATACACGGTAATTACCTCCTCAGCTTGCAGTCAAGTTCTGAAGATGACCTGATTATTTGATTTAAGTGCACTGAAGCAGAGACACATTTAAAAAGTTCAGCCAGACTGGAGTTTGACATCTTTGAATTAGATTCTCGACTTTGTGAAGAACGACAACTTGGTGAGTCAGGAAAATTAGTCTAAAATAACTTTAATCACATGTTCTTCACAAAGTAGGGAACGATTTTAGAGTCTACCCTCTCAAACTTAATGAAAATAGATCAGACTTAAAAATGTAGAATATTAACCTCAAGTACAATATTTTTTATATCAATTGGGTTCTGCATAATTAACCAAGTTTATGTAGAACAACATCAAACTTCTGAATAAAAACTTTTGAGTGACTTGTCGATGAATGGCATAAATTAAAGTTTGGTTAAAATCTCTTGAACAGCAGTATAGTTTACCCCCTTAAGGCATCTTTCAATGATCCAATTCATACAGTCAATTTAAACCCTTGCAGTTGCATCTATGTTTTCAGGATGGAATATGTTTTGTTAATAAGATTTAATGTTTTTTAAGAATTCCTTTTCCCCATTCTAATCTCAAGTTGCCTTTTGTGATATACATGTTTAAAGTGATACTGTCGTGGGAAAAAGTATTCAAGAGAGAGAGAACAGATCAGCATACAGCCTTTGTGGCACAACATTCTGCTCTGTTCTGCTAGAGCAGGGTTCGCCCCCCCTTACTTAGAACACTGCAAAAGTAGTCAAAGTCAAAACAAGTTACAGACACTTTGGTTAACGGCAACATGTTATGAATAAACCTTGAGAAAGAATCTAGTTTGTTTTGGGAAGAAGCTATGTCTGGTCTACAAACACCATCCTGCAGAGAATTGTGTGGCCTTGAGAGAGAAACAGACTGAGTGAAAACTTTTATAGTGAGTAAATGGGATAAATTAATATATAATAAGAGAGAGATAAAAAATTTCTGACAACATAACAGAATTTCTGACAGTTCCTAAAAGAAACAACACAAATTATAAAAACATTACAGCTAACAGAACTAGGCAAGAGTATCAGGATCTGCAGATATTCAAAATCGAGAATCAGATTTGGAACTAGAAAATGGATGGATCGGTGCTTTATTTATTATGACAATAACTTATCTTATGTTTAATTCTATTCGGTCCAATTTGCTAAAAACAGAAAATACTGTATAGCATTAAGACTGAATTATCAAAAACATCCTCCCTTTTCTTTGGTTTTTTGGTTCGAAGTCTGTAAGAAAATGAGTCAGAAATATTGCTGGAAACCAATCCCTGAAAGCTACTGTACATTTTATATTGTGGCCACTTTAAAGGCAGCAGTGACTTTACATTTAACTGACTTTAACCCCTTATAAACTTAAGAATTGATGCATACCCACACCAGTCACCAAGCCCTAACCTGGAAGGAAATATGTTGTGACTCTGCATAAAGAGACGTGCTTTCTTCAAAAAGCCCTGTATCTTTTTTTTTTTTTTTGTAACTGACTTTGTTAATGTTAGCTCCCAGTTAAAAAAGGCCATTCTAAATTCTACAGGGTAGCTGATAAGCCATGACTAATGAGCAAGGTTATTTGAACGTATTGAAGCCCAACTCTGAAAGCAGCTTACTTCAAATGGAGCTTCTAAGGCCTCCAGGATGCCTCCAACCATGAGGAGACCATCAGTTCCGATCTCCAAGCCATGGTTGACCCAGTCCACGCTTTCCAGCAGCAAGCAGTCCACATACAGCCGTAGATGGTCGGAGGACACACTGAAGGCTATGTGATGCCATTTTCCGTCACACAGGCCACTGACTGGGAACCTAAACAGAAACATTATTGTTATGACAGACATTGGTTTTAATTATGTGTCCTAAAAATGATTAAATCCCTGTTCAAGGATAGAGAAAAACAAGGTTTTGTGTGGTTTTGTTTTGGGCTTTTTCCCTTTTACACGCCAAGCATTGTAAAAGATGATTCCTGCTGAATGTGTAGAAATCGTCTTTCTTGACGGTTAAACTTTATAATCAGAATTAAAGGCAAAAGCAAAGTTTTAGGAAAACTTCACCTGAAAAAAGACTCAAGAACTTATACAAGTCACCAATTTAGGAGACTACACTAAATTCCTGTTGCTTTTCAGAGAAAAAATTTGTAAAAAAAATCCCAAAATGATTAAAATCTTTGCAAAGTATTAAATGAGAACATGAAATTAGGATGTATAAACATTAAAGTAATAGTTCCTGAAACTTACGCAGACATATATTTAAAAAATACATGTTGATGTAAATAGATCTATATTGAAACAAATACCTTGTTAAATGAACAAATAAAAGAATACATATTTAAGTAAAAAAAATACATCTTAAATAAATACGTATCGAAATAAATATATCTTGAAATTAAAGCATTAAGAAATGTAATAGATTTCACTTCGTAATGAAATACATCTTAATAAACTTCAATCTTTAATGAGGAAATCTATTTGCGGAATATTTTCCAATAGTTTATTTATTTTTAAAATGTATTTATTTTATAATAAAACAGCTCTCCGTATGTATAACCTAGGATCAACAATGTTTAAAATGCAAACCATTTCTGTAAAACTACTTTTGAGGTTCTCACCACTGTTTGCCTCTAAATAATCCAACTTGTTGGACAAGCAGGCTCATAAATCAACAATAAAAACTTTGCACAGCAGATCGGTATCTCTTTTTGCCACCTCTTGATGATGTATTCCTTTAATGTTTGTTTTTTCTTTGCAGGAAAGAACAAGCCAAGACGCCTCAACAAATCATTTTACCAGAGAAACAGCTAAATGGAGTCACTTTCAAACAAATGCATCAGCTGTGAACAGATTTCCTGCTTCAGGGGGCAAACGGCACCCTGGAAGCACATTTCCATACAGTGAAGATAAATGCAGGACTGGGCATGAGAGCCTTTATAAAACTGTCTGGCACGAATGCTGTAAACACTGTGAGAGAGCTTTTGGAAAAGGCTTCAATTCGGAGGCATTCTTTTGTTTGGAGCGGTGCTTACAACTGACGCTGTGGCTGCTGAAAACAAGCATAAAGTTTTATAAACCTAAAACTCAGCAGAAGAGGAATGTTTTCAAGCCTATTTAGTTCCTATGATAAAAAAAATAAAATGTTGTAGTTAGAAGCCTTATTTGCAACCTGAAAAGATTATTCTATTAGCATATATATACACACACACATTATATATATATATATATATATATATATATATATATATATATATATATATATATATATATATATATATATATATACATATATATATATACACATATACATATATATATATATACACATAAGATGTATTTCATTACGAAGCAAAATCTATTACATTTCTTAATAAACTTCAATCTTTAATGAGGAAATCTATTTGCAGAATATTTTCCAATAGTTTATTTATCAAAAAGTCAAAAAGCCTTTATTGTCATTATATTCTGCAATGGATACAATGAGGGGATACAATGAGGACACAATTTTTAAAATGTATTTACTTTATAATAAAAATTATATATATATATATATATATATATATATATATACATATATATATATATATATATATATATATACATACATACATACATACATACATACATACATACATACATACATACATACATACATACATACATACAAACAAACAAACAAACACACACACACAACACACACATATATATAAATCAGGCATACTCACTCGTAATGTCGCTGCTGCGTTCCTATGAAAATGATGGCGTAGGCGCTGATCCGAATCTGCAGCATGATAAGACTGTCGGGGCTGAGGATGGTGAACACGCTGTGTTCTTCCCTCTGAAGACTACGAAGCTGCATCAGTAAACTGAACTCGTCTGGCAGACTGTAGATGAGAACAGATTAATGGATTCACTGGGATTTTATCTGACGATTCAGCTTCAAGTAGTGGTTAACATGTTTTCTAGTGTGATGTGCATTTCACTGAGCCTACTCTTATTCTGATACCAATTCATCATTTCAAAAGCAAGCAAATAGTTTTTAGATCCTTGAAGATTTCAGGGAACTGTTAAATCTTTTGTTTGAAAATGCATATTACGACAGCACGAAGAAAATACCAATACATGGCAATACTCTAAATTAACACTGAAATAAAATTAGTTGTTTATGCATCCATGTTATACATTGAATTTTTAAATTTAAAAGAAATCTAAAAAGTAAAATGGAAAATTTTTCCATTTCAAAATCTAAAACCGTTTGTTATTTTTTTCCTTTCTTTTTTATGGCTTAATGAGAGCAGTGGGCTTTACGCTGCCCTGCACGGCTTTTAAAACTTGGTTTGAATGGCGACAAAGCCATTCTCAAGCACATATCAAGGCGCTCATTCGTGAGCCTGGGAAACATGCAATAATATATAAATGTTTTAAATCAGGTTGGGTCCGGATTAGCCAGCAGGTGGGATCCGGACCCCTGTAATCTAATCCGTGACCTTTACTCTAGATGCTCAATGCTGGCACAAGAAGTTGCTTTAACTGTACAAAGAATAGAATTTAGGGAGATAAATTAAAAATACCCTTATTTATGCTGCTGTATGGAACATAAATAATGCCCATTGAAAAAAAAAAAAAGCATAAGATAAACACTTTATTATCACAATGTAATGAAACAGCAAAACTTGAAGGGAAATCAATACTTTTGAAAGTACTTTTGCTTCTTCAGAGTAGAGTAAACAAACCTATTGCTGAAAATCTGTTCCAGAGGGAGAGTCAAGGTGGCGTACTGTCCAACTCTGACCGACGGACAACTGGCGCCCCCTACAATCATGGAGGAGTTACTGCGCTCCGACACCTGGGGTAAAAGCTCCTGCAGTATATTCACCTCTTCTGTAAGGAGACCACAGAGAAAGAGATGGACATATGACAACTTACATTAACAGATTCAGTGTTTAAATATTCTCATTAGTTAATTATCCTTTTTTAATGTTTCCAGCATACAGAAAAAACACAGAAAAAAAGAAAGGTTGGCTTCTGTTTACATTAATTTTTGTTTTATATCGTTTGTGTGCAAGAAAACCACACACATGCTTGAACTGGAAGTAAACCGGACTTTTGCTCAGTTTCTTTGAAGACAATCCGGGCAAAAGTCAAGTTGCCCTCTGGTTTAAGCCGGTTTCTGGCTGCAATGAGTGAACATTTACACAGGCATGTGTAAGAAAAACAATAAAACTTCAATATCTACAAAGTGACAGATTGAATTATCTGAAAATGTTTTCATAGCAATAAAAATATCTATGATTAAAAATTGCAAGCACAAATAACTGACGAACAATATAACAACAGATGATGATGATGTTGAAAAAAAGCACAAAGTAGGACCTTAACAACAAAGAATAAGAAATAAAGATTGAAACAAAAACACAACATAACTAATCCACTACTAATCCCAGCAGATGAAAAAAATTAAAATTAAAGATAAACAAGACATCTTAAAGCTCTAAAACTCAACCTGTAAGTGCATGGTTGTATTTTTCTATGTCTTTTACAATGTATATGTTTTGGTTTTTTTTTTGCTGTTTAAAATGTTTTTTTTTTTTTTTATATAAATAAAAAAGCAAGGGACTCGTAACCTGTCAGGGGTGAACCCCTAGCCTGGGTGCCATTCCGAACTTAGTCCCGCCCACGAGGTTTGAGGTCGGGAAGTTCGGTCTGGCTCTGCTCCATAGTAGCGCGAGTATTATCGCCCACCCTCTGTCGATCCAATCAAATTCTCAGGGCGGGCTTTATACGATGATGGACAGATGATCAACAGTAACGTAATCTACCACGTCACCAAAGCGCGCTTGGGTGACAACAACAATGGCTGCCGCTGGAGAGTTGAGGTGAGTAGATTCTGCTATTAGGTCTGTTCTAGAAGATATCGACAGCAAATTAATTTTAAAAGAGGAACAGAGAAACGCGATCAAGGCTCATCTTCTTATTCTAGGCGTGCAACTGCACGCTTTGATTTTTGTTGACAACAACTATGCATCGCTTAACATACGTCACGCACTCCGCTGCTCTTATTGGTTGTAGGTCTATCCAATTGAGTGCAGAGGCATTTTTTTTCCTGGTTCATTCAAAACACGCCCCATAATCACAGCTCTATGGAGCAGTATCAGACTCATATTTTGACTAGAATTGAGTAGGACTACGTCAGGCTAGTGAACCCCACCTTTCGCCCATAAAAGGGGCAAAAAAAGGGCTGCCAACTGCCTAAAAAAAAAAAAAGGGACGCCTCATGTGACCAGATTGCCTTTACCCCTCCTGGCATGGTGATTTTTTTCCCCAGCCCCCTTTATGTGTGAAATTAATATTTTTTAACTATTTGACTCAAATCTGTTTTGAATTAGATGCATATTTGTGGATGACATGACCACGTGGGAAAAAAAAATCATTATCCAGCAATTCCCTTTGATAAAAAAGTAAACTTTGCTGAATAAAATAAGTATCTTAAACATAAGCCTGTCCTGCTTAACTTCAAACTGTAAAAATGAATATAAAACAATAGTGCATGTTTCTGGTGCAGCAGCAAACTTGTGCAAACTGGTAAACATATTTGTGCCTTAAATGCAATGACTGTAGGCTATAGTTGTAAAACAGAAAAAGAAATTATTAGCTCAATGCCACATAATGTGGCGATAGCCTACTTTTTCCATTTGTATTTTCTCTGAGCTCTTCTAGCAGTGAGGAGTTGTTTGTCTTGAGTGCTGCAGAGTAAAAGTCTGAGCAAGACAGTTCATAATGATGCTGACAATGAGCTCACCTTTAATTAATTCAGTGGAACAACAGAACTTGATTAAGGAGAAAATCCTCTTCACAAAACCAGTTGAAGATGGGATGCTGAGGTCAAAAGACACAGCAGCTTGGATGTTGGGAAGGTCAGCTGCCTGAAGAACCTCAATCGACCTCTCTGCTGTTCCTTTTTCCTGCAGTTTACCATAAGTTTTGTATTTAACATGCCCTTTCTCTTCATTTTCCTTTAGCTTTTTAATGACTATTCTTTTACTCTCAAACTAATACAGGACAAAGTGCGTTCCTTTTCCATTAAATACGGGAACGATTTTGTTTTTCAAGGGACGGTTGGCAACCCTAGTCACAAAGGCCAGTGACCGTGAGGTACAGACGGATGGCATGAAATTAACCTTTCCTTTAGGTTTGTAGTAATCCTTCTGAGTCTGAGAGTATTTTATCTACGTATTAAAGCAGTGCATACAAGACAATTCAGTTACCAACCTTGAAATAAACACTGCCGTGTTCAGGCAACACATTCTCTCTCCTAACTCTTCAAATGCTGCTGCTGGTCAAAGTTCCATGCGCTTCACATACGATCACGTAGGGGGTAACCCTTGCACCATAAACTGAAGCACAGAATATTTTCTAAATTTTAGCCTACAAAATTTGTTGGATAGTTTTAGGAATATAGTGTAACATGTACAGTATTTCCCAGACTATAAGGGGCTACTTTTTTCCCACACTTTTAACTATGTGGTTTACAAGAAGATGAAGCTTTTCTGTGGATTTTTCATAACTGCCAGAGGGGGAAGTCAAAGTTTGATATGAAACAAAAGGGGGCTAATCTCAAGAACATGCTAGTGCCAGGCATGGCGGACACCGAGGCCGTTTATCAATATGTGTACTTGTGTGTTTTAATGTGCTTGTGTACTCGCAAAACGTCATAAGCCTCAGCCCTAGTGCTGATCCAATTCACAAGAACAGCAGACCGAGAACGTATAAAGTCCCCGGATGTTGTTCCCTCCCTATTTACAGAGTATGCATCAGAGCAGACTTGTCCGTTCTTGAGATTGACAGCTGTCCCAGCATGCACTGCGGCAGCAGCAGCTTTCAATGGAGCGCTCCATTGAAAGTTATGTCTCTTTTCTGTTGTTGTTGTTCAATAAAAATACGTTTTAAGATCATTTGAGGCGAGAATAAGATACTGTTAAATGAGGAAGTTATGTCCCCTAAAAAAGCCGTTGCGCCTCGGGGGCTTCCTCACGGTTCTTTTCCTGGAAGCAAGTTATTTACTACTCTTAACTCAAACTGGGCAAAACCATATAAAAAAGGACTATAAAACAGGAGTAAAAAATAACAGAGTTTATTCCAGATCAGGTCGTTACAGGACAGAGAAAATGCTTGGAGCTTGCACAGCTGTGGGCTAAAAAATCACGTCCGCGAGCATCCGGCAAAAATTGAGCCCCGAACAAGGTCATCTCCTGCTTCTTATAGCTCATGAGTCTATGTGTTGCATTATGTTGATGTTTAGCTTTCCGTATCAGAAACTGACACGCCATCCATGTCTTGAACTTCATGCAGCTTGCCTCTATGCCTCAGGGTTACAGATAGCTCTCCTCTATCAGACCGGCTCCCAGATGTGCCCATATCCTGTGTTTTTTTTAAAACACAAAGGCTGTCCTGATTAGATGACCTCCGTACACACAGTGACATCCACAATGTGAAAGAAGGCCTTCTACTCTGTCTAATCTGGCTAACAGAATAACAATGCACATGATGTATAAAGAATAAATCTAACAATACTTTAAAGTGACATTATATGTTCCATTTACCGATTAAATGCATAATTAAAGAAATTCCGAAGTTGAGATGACCGAGGCAACCAGCGGACCTCCGAGGCTAACGGCGGCCAGGGCTAACCGCTTAGCCTCTCTCTGCATAGCCATGTGGGGCTGCAGGCTCTGATTGCATTTTTTTTGTTTTATTCCTTTTACGGCTTATAGTAAGGTGCGCTTTATAGTCAAAAAAATAAGGACTAGTGTTTTTTTTAGGTTTAGGGTAATTTTGGGTCAGTGGTAATTTTTTATTTTTTTTTTTCTTACTTTACACTTCATGGATATTTTTCACAAGTTCTTGCTACAACCTTTCATGCACCCCACACATCAGTAACTGAGAGACGTATTCCCGTCGTTTCAGAGTTGTAGTCCTAATATCAGAAAGTTGCTAAACTCTTTAAAAAACCAATAAGAGGGGCACCGCTAAATGAGGACCAAATCATCTTATAAAAATCAGTGTTGTTTTAATTATGAAGAACTCTAACACCAGATCATAAGACACTTCATGGTCCATTCTGGGTTTCTGAAGACTGCCTTAGAAGACACTGAAACTTGGTAACATCTGCAACCCAATTTATCCAGTCTGCTGGCACTTTGAGAAACCGCAGCATGCTGTGAACACACCACTCATTTAAAGGCCAACTACAATCTGCGGTGCAACAGACTTTTAAAAGGATTCCTTTTAGCCACAGTGCCAAACATTGGTCTACCTCACCCCCCACTCACTGATTTCCTGTCAGTGGTTAGAAGTTATATGAGAACCTTTCATTTTTACCCCCAGAGAGCAGCTAAAGTGCCATTCATCATGTGCAGCCCACAGGTGTTTTTGCTTGAACAGCTCCTTTCAGATGAACGCAGTTCTTCATTATACCTGGAGAAAGTGAGTCACCACTCCAGAGCGGGAGCGAGACACTGGTGCCGAAGATATATGCCAACCTTACAACTGACAGGGACCAGTCTGAACAGAAATGCCAATGACATTATGTAAGACATGAGTCCAAGATTTATTAGCGTGATGTGTTTGAGCACCATGGAAGAGAAAGCATCCACTCAACCAGCTTTTGTCAGAAGGCTCTATATGCAAAGAGACTTAATGAAAGCACTTTTAAAAAAAATCCCCTCAGGGATCTACTGACTACAGTATGAACATGTTTCAGACTGAAGCTGGATATCTGCCAAACATCGGAGAAGCAGATTAAGCCCAACTCCTGTCAGGCATGTTTTAAAATAAGTGGGTCCAAATCTGCCAGCCCCTTTGGAAGCTCATTATCTCTTGCT